CCTCGCTCCACTACGCTCCAAATGTGTAAAACGAGAGTGAATCTTTAGCTAGAACATGGAAAGATACGGCGCCGGCATGACTTTTGTCTTTTGTGCATGTCGCAAGTAGCGGAGCCGGTCCCCTTACCATCTACTCCATGCACAAAGGTCCGCCGAAACATTAAACATTAATTACAAGCTACCTTCCTATGTCGATTAGAGTATCCGCTATTTCGCAAGCATCGACAACCATCGAAACAGATATCGCATAATCCAAGTGACGAAAAAACGACTAAGTATAAGCGATTCCACAAACACTCGCCACCATCGAGCGAAGCTCATACCGTAGTCCTCAGGTGAAGAGTGATGAGCCACTCATCGTCGTTTCACAATGCAGTCATTGAATCGTAAAATGGGACCCAAAAAAATCGGAAAAAAATGGGTCTACATGATATGAAAAATCTAAACCCGCGAACGGATAGACCATGATTGCCAACCAACGAATGATTGAATTTGAAAACGTCGAAGTAACACGAACGAGAGTAGTCTAGTAGGTAGTCAAGCAGAAGTTATGAACTGCTATTCCCGGTTTTATTACATCGACGTGGTGACCTCGCGCATTCTGCTGTAATTCTAGACATTCGTCATACACAGTTATACAACTTAAACAAAAACAACGACACATATTTTACAGGCCAATACCTATCCACACCCGATCACCAGAGAGAGAGAGAGAGAGAGAGAGAGAGAGAGAGAGAGAGAGAGAGAGAGAGAGAGACTCTGAGAGAGAGAGAGAGAGAGAGAGAGAGAGAGAGAGAGAGAGAGAGAGAGGAGGGGGGGAGGGGAGGAATTAGTGGGGTGTGGAAGCGAGTTCAAGGAGCAGAAGACGAAAACAAAAGAAATCAGGAACCTACCCAAACGCGACAGAAGGATGAATACAAAGCGCACAGTCTCGTCATGAGGTGTTTCATGGCGTACTCACACTAGAAATTTCATGCATGTATCGGACCGCAATTACATCCAAACCTGGCTGTATTTGACCGCAATCACGCCCAGAGCCCAGTCTAAAAAGGTCCGAGTGTGAGTTAAAACTACTTAGTCTAGTCTCTCGCTCGCCGGACTCCTCGCAGGTTGGTTGAGATTGAGGCTTACCTCGAGTTCACACTCCAAAACGATTTCGAGTTCCGCGTCGTCCAACTGCGCTTCACACTTGTCCTCCCCTTCCCAATATCTTACTCTCACTTGTGGTGTCCCATCAATCATGGCATGCTGCACTCTGATTAGTTCCTCTCTCTCTCTCTCTCTCTCTCTCACACACACACACACACACACACACACACACACACACAGAAAGAGTCTCTATTTCCTTTTATTCTTTGTCTATGTCGCGGGATTCCCCCGTCCTACACGATTGAGATACACAGAGAAGGATGTTGTGGAATGCAAAAAACATGCCTCGCTCCGCATTCCGATCTGCACTGCCACTTCAAAAGTTTGCCGCCTCTCATTGGGAACTACAAGGAGAGACTCAATTTCTTGGTCGCCGCCTGAACCGTCTGAGCAGTCGTGTAACACGTGCTCACGCCGAGCTACGAACGTCGGACACGTGTTCTCTTCCGAAACCACGCTTCAGACACTCAGAAACTGTTGAGCCCTCAACTTTTGCGTCACCAATCAAACAAAGCGACACAGTGGCCATACATCGTTTTATTCAGCAGTCGGACAATCTGATCGCCACATCATATTCCACATCATCACGAAAAGAGAGAGAGAGAGAGAGAGAGAGAGAGAGAGAGAGAGAGAGAGAGAGAGAGAGAGAGAGAGAGAGAGAGAGAGAGAGAGAGAGAGAG